CTAAAATCTGCCCTCAGACCTGGTGCTTTTCCCAAAATCTGCCCTCAGGGCTGTGTTTCATTGATCTGCCATTCTCAGACTCTCCTGCCAAGGCAAGGTCAGTGAGGTGGAGCCACCTGGACCTGCTCACAAAATTTAAACCTGAAATGTTAGGCCTTGTTTATTTTTTTTGGAGCATCCAGGGAGCTGCCCCATCTCCTCAGGTGTTGCTGTCTGTGCAGGTGGGGCACAGCAGAGCACTGGGTTTGTGCCTTGGTCACTTCTCTGCTGAGGGAATCCTGCTCAGCTGCTGCAGAACTCACTGAATTTCTATTTCTCCAGCATCTTGATTAACACTTTGGGCTTCATTTCTTATCCTGAGTATTTTTCTTTGTCAACTGTGAGCTCGTTTGGGTGATTGAATGTTACTATAGCCAAAATGATTGAATGTTACTATAGCCAAGATGACTTTCAAGGCATTTTTTCTTGCTTTGAAAGAAGTGCATTTTAATGGTTTTGGAGTGGCTTTTTGAGAGCAAGGTGTTGGTTGGTCAAAGGTTGGACTCAGTGGTCTGGGAGGTCTTTTCCAACCTTTATGGTTCTGTGAAGGAATTAACTGAGAGAGCAGAAAATGCCCAGATGTGGCTGATGAGAAGGCTCAGAGGTTTTTTTGTACCTCAAATATGAGGAGGTCAGGGAACACCAAGTTTGTGCCAAGAGCACGAGCTGCTCTGTGCTGCCTGCCTGGTGAATTCCTGAGCCCTGCCTGTTCTGGGGCTCTGTGCCTTGTCCAGGGATTCTCTGTGTTCTGCTCAGGCAGGCTGGGCTGCAGTGTCCTCAGCTTCATTCTAAACACATTTTTCTACATTTATTTCTACTTCTTTTTCTTTTTTTTCTTTTTTTTTTTCCCTAGTGGAAAATCCATGTCTTATTCTTGCACTCTGTGGAGCAATAAACCTGGGTTCTGGCAGGCAGCCAGAGGAATAAATTGAGGGAATCCCTTTGCTGCAAATGCTCCTTCTGTAGGTCAGGGAGTTCAGTGCTGGGAAAAGATGCCAGAGAGCCTCCCAGCTGATCTCTGGGTTGGGAGCCTCTCTAAATTAAAAGGCATCATGTAGCCTGAGTAAATAGTGCATCGTTTAATTTTGGTTGTAGAAAGGCCTTGGGGAAACACTGTCCTGTAAACTATTTAAAGCAAGTAAATTATAGTGTAAGGGGGAAGCAAGGAACTGGACTTGCATGTGGCTGCCTAATCTCACAATCTGGAAGAAGTAATAAGTTAATAAGAGAAGTAAAAGGCTCTTGTTGAAATTAATTTTTGAGGTATTGAGCAGCCCTATTTAGTGCAGTTAATAGTTAAAGGAAATTATTTTTATTTTTTGGTTTTGTTTTTGGTTTTTTTTAAGCAATAAAGTGAAACTTTTGTTTTGCAACCTGCATGAAAACCTTTTTTGTAAAAAAAAAAAAAAAAAAATCCCTGTGATTTCCTGCAGTGGTGAATGCAGCCCATTCCTTCTATAATGGCACAACAACTCTGCCCATCTCAGATGAGGACAGAACTCCACGTAAAAGAATTAGCAAGACCTTAAATATGACTACAAGTCCTGAAGAAAAGAGAAAAATTATTGGTGACACTTTTGTTAAGGTAATGTTTACTTGTTGTTGGGTTGAAGTTTTTAAATGCTGTGATTCCTGGGTACATCTTTTAGTGTTTAATTGTTTAAAAAAAAAATCAGTAAAAAAACCAGTGCCATTGGTGCTTGTGAGAGCTGTGGGTGACCCCAGAAGCCTTTGGGAAGTGACAGGGAGAATATTTAACTATTATTCTAATATTTAAATATTAGAATATTTAATATTGTTCCTGTACTCTGGAGATGTTTTGTCCATTTTCTGTTCAACAAAAGCTGGGGTTGCAGCAGTGTTTCAGCAGTGGGACAGTGGCATTGTTAGTCATTTGTGCTTTTACAGCTCCCTGCCATGGGTCAGACAATTAATTCATTTTTCTTGAGAGGTTTGACAGCCCCAGCAGTGCCGGAACTCTTCCTTTGTGTGCCCACCCTGCAGATTGCCAACGAGGTCATCGGGGAGATGAACCTGAAACCCGAGGAGGTTTTCCTTGCTCAGGGCACCCTCAGGCCTGACCTGATAGAGAGTGCCTCCCTGGTGGCCAGTGGCAAGGCTGAGGTGATCAAAACCCACCACAACGACACCGAGCTGATCCGCAAACTGCGCGAGGAGGTAAAGGCAGCACGCTGCTCCTGCCACACTGAGCACCCACAGCCCAAATCTCCTCTGCTGCTGTGGCTCTCACTGACAGGACCCTGCTGTGCCCCTGAGACTCTGTTTTGTAATTTAGTGCGTTTCTTTAATTGCCAAGGGTTTGTTTATCTGAAATCCCAAAAAGCTTTTTCAGCCCTTTCTGTGCACAGCTCTTTAGTGTTAGCGTGTGCAGCAAAGGTGAGACACTGCCTGGTTCGATTTTCTGGCATTGGAATGGTGAGTTCTCTGACTGTATTATATTCTAAGAAAGAATCAGCACAGGAGAGACCTCACCCAGCAATCTGGTGGAAAGTTACCAGCAACTCTGAGAACTAACAATCCCCATTTCTAATGCTGATCCCTGCACAAAGTGTTTTGGGGTTGGTTTGAACATCCAGCAGAGACAAGAAAGGTCTGAATTCATGCAGGCAGGGCCAGCTTGGCTTTACAGCTCTGTCTGCTCTGCTGGAGCCACAGATTCTTCTGGCACAAGCAGGGACTTCCTGGTCTCACCCTCTGTCCTGCAGCTGCTCTACAAAGCCCACATTCACATGGAATTTCTTTCCAGTGTTTATGGAATCGTTGGCACTGGTGCTGTGAGGCCAGGCCAGTTTGGGTGCCAGAACCTAAACATTTGAAGGTTTTTGTTTGGATATGTGAACTGGAGTGTAAAATGCCCTTTTTAAAAAAATTATTTTCTTTTTAGGGTAAAGTAATAGAACCACTGAAAGACTTTCACAAAGATGAAGTGCGAGTGCTGGGAAGAGAGCTTGGCCTTCCTGAGGAGCTGGTTTCCAGACATCCCTTCCCAGGTATGGAGCTGGTGGATCACAGCAGTGTTCTTCAGCAGATCCAGAGTAACTGCAGTATTAAACTGATCTTTAAACACAGAAAAAAAATCAATTTAGCTTTTCACTTAAGCACAGTCTTTCAGGAAAAGATGACTTGAGAGCAGCTTGATAAATACGCACAATGTTTTATAATTGAGCCTTTGTTTGGCTTTGGTGGAGAAGCCAGAGGAGGAGTTCTCAGTAGGTGCAGTGAGCTCTGCCTGAGCTGCCACGTGGCTCTGACCTGGAATCATGGCCTGGCTCTGCCTTTCCAAGGGGGATTTGCTGCCTTGAAAGTAAATGCTCAACATTAATAACACGAGTTCTCTACTAGAAAACAGCAAAGTCAATAATTGTGGGTTGTTTTTTTGTCCTGGAGGTTAAGACAACAAGCTTAGACACAGTGGCAGAATACACAGTACTCAAAAACTGGCTCTGTTCCACACTTTCAGGTGAAAAACACCTTCCTGTTATTTGGTATAATCTTTTTTCAACGTTGCTTTGCAGGTCCTGGCCTAGCAATCAGAGTGATCTGTGCTGAGGAGCCTTACGTGTGCAAAGACTTCCCAGAAACCAACAACATCTTGAAAATAGTGGCAGATTTTTCTGCAAGTGTAAAGAAGGTAAGGAAATGCTAAATTTTAATTTTGAGTGACGGTTCTGTAGTGACCTGAGGTGAGGTTTAGTCTGCTAAAAGGTTAAAAGGACTGGTTTGTGCTCCTTAAGGAATGCTGCCTCCAAGTACAGCTCAGCTGTAGCTGTTGAGTGGAATTTTTAGTGCTGGGACTGCTGCAAGTGTTGAACATTTCTGGAAAATGGACCTTTATTTACTTTTCAAATAATAAACAAATTCTGTTGTAGTTAAACTTGGTGCAGATGAGATCACACAGTGTCAGGAAAAGATCTTCCCTCCCTGAAAGAGTTGTAACATTCTAAGTTTGCACACCCCAAAAATCACTGGGTGTGGAAATGCAAGTGCAGGAGCCAGGAGCTGGTGCTGGCCAGGTGCCCTGATCCAAAATCTGGAATTTTGAGTGGGTGATGTTTGACCCCCACATCTCCTAACTGTGCTGACCTTTGTGGTGGCTGTCAGTCACTGGAGGGGTCTGCTCTGAGGTGTGAGTTCAAAACAACTTCCAGAACCTTTTTGGTAAATCCCGAAGGGCAGACATTTCAGTCTGCCTTTCCTTTAAAAGATGTGGAATTGTGGTGCCATAAAACTGGAAAGTGCAGCTTTGTGAAGGAGAAAATGAGCACAGGAAAAGAGCTTCCCCCATGGCCTTAGAGCTTCAGCTTGAAATGCAGGGTAAGCACACAAAAGTGCTTTTGCTTATGTTTAATTGTCAGATGAGAGGTATCTTTTAAATAGTTCCAAGGGATAAATGTAGACTAAGCAAACAGGTACTTAAATAACAATTTAACAATTTTATTTGTGCCGTGCAAGCTCTGTTTGAGGGCCTGGGAGCTTTGTTTAATTCCAGTTTATTGTTCTGCATCCTTGCCCAGCCTCACACGTTGCTGCAGAGGGTGAAGGCGTGCACGAGTGAGGAGGACCAGGAGAAGCTGATGCAGATCACAAGCCTACATTCACTGAATGCCTTCTTGCTTCCAATCAAAACTGTGGGAGTGCAGGTACAGGGCTCTGTCACATTTTATCTTCTTTTTCTTCCAGAGTCAGGACTGAATGCTCGAGATGGTATTTCTTGTTTGGACTCAGATGTTTATTAGTTCTTATCTATATTAGAGTGAGTTCTACAGCACTTGAAGCTAAGAAGCTAAAAATGGAGCCCCCTCTCTCTCTACAAGGCCTTTTAAGGGCAAACTGTCCAATTAAGAAAAGCCACCTAAATTATTTTCACTTTTAACCCAATAACCAACCATCCATGGCCTACAGTGAGGACTTTTCTATCCAATTAAACAAGATCACCCAGACCCATGAAGAAGGAGGACAAAACCTCTGCCCTAAGCCCTTCATCTTGCTTTATGTATATTACTATATCCTAAAACCCCAAATTCTAAGTTTTCCACCATGGGATATTGCACACTTCTAATCAAACTTCACACTCATGATCTCAGTTCTGTCATTCAGTTTTGGAAGCCTTCTCCATGGTCCTAATGTTTTCCTGGGGGTCAGTGCCTGTCAGCACAGAAAGTTTAAAACTCTCAGTTTCCAGGGTTCCAGCAGGGCTCTTTGCAGGGCAGGCTCTGGGCAAACATCTCTGCTGCTTCAGGGGCTGGCAGAGGAGCTTGGCTCAGCAAGGGGAGCTGGAGGTGGCTGTGCCAGTCTGGTCCTGTGGGGTGCAGGGCAGGCTTGGGGTCCCTGAGCTCAGTGCCAGGGACTCTGGGGGGTCACTCCCCTGAGCTCTGCTGTCACCCTGCTGGCCCCACTGAGGCTCAGGAATCAAAATGTCACTGGCTGCACTGGGTCAAAATCCCACTTTCCTACATTTGGATGTGGTTGTGGCCCTTTGCAGATCTTTTCTGAACTGTGCTAACCCCTCTCCTTGGGAAGGGAGGAGCTGGAGGCTGCAGGAGCAGTGGGATGTGTGCAGCAGCTGAGTTCCCTTCCCTTTCCCTCCCTGTGGGCACACACAAGCCAGGTGCAGGTGCAGAGCTGGCACTCATGGAGCTGTGTGCAGTAACTCGGGACATTTCCTTGCTGAGCAGTCCTGCCTTTCCCTGCCCTCTGTGTTGAATTCCTCCTCATATTTCATTTTCAGCTGCCTAATGCTGTGTGTGGCTCCTTGCAATCAGCTTTGGTTACTGTTTCAGGCTGCAGTGTCAGCAAATTTCTGTGCTCTGTCACCAAAATCCCAACACTGGCCAGTGCAGATGAGTCTTCCCAGTGTGAATATTTCCTTTTACACCTCTGTCATCGCGCTCTGTATTTCCCCACCCACTCAGTCTCTCCCTGGTATCACCAGCTCAGTGTCTGCTGAATGTTGGCCCAAACTGTGGTCCTGTCACCTGCAGGATGGGCAGGAAGGGCTAGTGGGTGGCTCTGGCAGCAGAGCTCACACTCAGTGTGGTTGTTTCTGCCCTCCAGGGTGACTGTCGCTCCTACAGCTACGTCTGTGGCATCTCCAGTAAAGATGCTCCACACTGGGAGTCCCTGATGTTCCTTGCCAGGCTCATACCACGCATGTGCCACAACATCAACAGGTGAGTGTTGAATTGCCTTTGCTTTTAATTATCCAATTCACACATGGAAGTTTAGCACGTGCAAATGTTTCTTTGTTTAATCTGGGGTGTAATATTTTTATATGTTGGGCAGGTGTATCATGCAGAGGTCACAAATACACAATAAATCAAAATATGGATTTATTTCTAGCTTCAAAAGAAATTACTGGCCTGTATCCTTGGATTAGGCAGCATTCACTGTAATTTATGCAAATCTCTTCTGCAAGGCTCCAGCCTGGTGCTGGGCTGTGATGTGCTGCAGTTGGGTTTGCCTTTGTGTCAGAAGGGATTTGTGTGGGACTGTCAGTTCTGGTGGCACAGGGAGAGCTCCAAAGCTGAGCAGTTTGATCTTGAGCTGTCTGAGGATACATTTTCTACCTACTCAAGTCCATAACTTTTCCAGCAGCTGAAAGTGCTTAGATGTGAAATCAGCTCTGGAGAATTATACCCTCCCTGCCTGGCTGTAGGATATCTGCCAAAACTGCTTAGAATTGCTTATAGCAAAACTTCATTTTCTCACATAAGTGACACCTACTGACAGAGCTTTTACTCAGAAAGGTGAGACCTGGAATTGCAAGGTACCCGTTTCAGTGCAAAGGGGACAAAAGAAAGCATAAATCAGGATTGCCTGATTTATATTCCAGTTCTGGAATATGTCAAAAAATGAAAATAAAAGCCAGTTTCTGGCTTTAGAGTGCTGCTGATTTCTTGAAGCTCTGCTGGGTTTAACACTGCCCTCCTGAACATCCCACAGGAACATCCCACAGCTCTGGGAGTTCTGCTGTCCCCAGGGTCTCTGCAGGCTCCACTGCTGTTCCAGGACACTGAGGAGGGCACTGGCATAGCTGCTCTCCTGCCCAGCTGTGCTCTCAGGCTTTGTATTCCAAACAAATCCCCACAGAGTAAACTGGCATGTCTGTGTGCTTTGGATTTTAGACAAGGGCTCCTGGTTTGTGGCTCGTGGTGAATCCATGCATGAGGCCACTCAAACTCTGCTGCTTGTTCTGCAGCATCTGAAACAAGGAATGAAAGATTAAAAACATGAAGTTGATGTGACTGCTTTGAGTTCAGATGTTTTGTTGCAGATGTACTTCTGTAGATTTATAAATTGCAATTAGCGCCCTGTGCTGAAAACCCTTCGTTAACGATAAGGTCTGGCATTTAAAGGGGGGTTTGGGGAGGTTTCCTGTTAAAAATTGTAAGCAGAAGAAAACACCATTCTGTTTCCTAGCTGTGTTTTGTCCCTGTGGCATTGCAGAAGCAGGCTGGGGCAATCTGGTTTATTCTGTGTGTGTTGCAGAGTCGTGTACGTGTTTGGCCCCCCTGTCAAGGAGCCCCCCACGGATGTCACCCCCACCTTCCTGACCACAGGAGTCCTCAGCACTTTACGTCAAGCTGACTTTGAGGCTCACAACATTCTCAGGGAGTCTGGTAGGTGCTCCACCTCATCCCTGCAGGGGTCAGACCTGTGTTTCCAGATCCCTGCAAACCCAGTGGGTGGAATCAGAGTGATGCTGTCAAAACCTGCAAGCGAATATCTCCAAAAAAGTGATCAGTTAGTGGAATGGCAGTGAAAAGTTGTGGAAGCTGATAGCTAAAGGCCAGCAATTAATTTTAGGGGATTTGGGAGACTTTCTTCTAACACATCTCAAAGCTGTGCTTCTCCACTGTCAGGCAACTCAGCCACCCAAATCCCTTCTCTTTGCTCATCTCAGTGTTCATGTGAGGTGAAGAAACTTGACATAGTTTTTTAAATACTGGTTCTGGGGAAAGCCAAGTTTCTCATGGGGGTGATGCTCACAACCTGTGGTGGTTTCAGATTTCTTAACTTGAAGTCAAAGCTGCAACCCTAACCCTGCAGAGCCAGGGAGTGTGGAGTCCCCTGGATGTGCTGCACAGGGAATAAATAGTTCTGAGGTTCAGCCTCTTCAGTTTTTTACTTAATTACCTTTGGAGATGTGATCTGTGTGGGAAGCACTGCATCAGCTCTGCCTGTATTTGGTATAAATCAAGTTACAAGGGATCCCTCTCTTGGATCCATATTCTGTTTGCAGAGGAGCAGAATTTGTACAGAATTAACCTCAGAAGGCTGAGACAACACTGTTGGCTGTGTTGGTAAAGCTGTAGCTGTGTCTTGCTAACTTTTGGTGACACTTGGCTTTGTGTGAATGAATTGCTCCTAAAAATAAGCCTGGAGTTGTGGTTTAGTGCAGAAACCTCCCTGTGCAGCAGCTCAGGCCAGGGCTGGCAGAGGGAGAGCCTGAGCAGTGTGAGCTCCACACACCACATGGGTTTTGGACTTTCAGCTCGTTGCAGCAGGGAAACTGGGGAGTTGTGCCTTGCCTTTCAGGAGGAGGGGTTGAAAAATCAGTGAAATGTGATTGTCTGGAGTTACCTGCTCACTACCAGCCAGGGATACTGGAGAGCTCTCTCCTCAGTGTTTCAAAGAATATTTCAAGGGTTTATTTGGGAACATCTTTTTATTGGGCTTGATATGGGAACTGATAAAACACTATGGTTTTATGTCATTTGGGAAGGGAAGTGGCTCTTCAACTGATGCACAGTGAATTACAGGGATAACAGAGATTAGCTGGGATTTTTCTGTGTGCCTGCAAAGCCTGAGAATCATCTCAAGTGGTGATTTTTAGAATCTCAGAAGGGTTTGGGTTGGAAGGGACATTAGGGACTAGGGACACCTTCCACTTATCCCAGGGTGCTCCAAGCCCTGTCCAGCCTTGCCTTGGAGCCTTCCAAGAATCCAGGGGCAGCCACAGCTGTGCCAGTGCTTTCCCAGAGACCCTGGTGCTGGTTTGCAGCTCCACCACTGCTGTGGCAGCAGAGGGAGCAGATCCCACAGGATGTAGGAGCAGCTGCTGCTTTGGAGCTGGAAGCACAGGGGGGAATTGTGAATTGTGCAGAACTTGTGCCCATGAGCCCAGCTAAGGGCCCTGTGTGCCCCTGTGTGCTGCAGGCTACGCTGGGAAGATCAGCCAGATGCCAATCATCCTGACCCCGCTGCATTTTGACCGGGACCCCCTGCAGAAGCAGCCCTCGTGCCAGAGGTCTGTGGTCATCAGGCCCTTCATCACCAGCGACTTCATGACGGGCATCGCCGCCACGCCGGGCACAGAGGTGCCCGAGGAGGTGAGGCCCCTCAAAATACTCAAAATACTCTGCTGGGATGGATAAGGGATTGACTGGAAGGTCTCACAGATATGGATGTATGACAAAAAAAACCCCCAACTTTAAATGTAAATCTGAAAAAAAAAAAAAAATGATAGCAGGTTTTGATATAGAAGAAGAATTGCTGAGCTGATCTTACTGGGTAACCAGAAAGCAAAGAGCAGGTGAGTTAGAAGGGGTTTTTATGACTTAAAGCAAAGGATAAATCCACCTCACACAAAAAATGTTTTTAGCAAACAAAAGGATTTTCACAGGCAAGCAAAAAAGCCATTGTTGCAAGTAAAGAAAAGATCTCAGAATTTTCCACTGCAAGAAAACGAAAACAACTTCTTCTAACTTAAATTGAAACATATTAACCTTTCTTAACTGGAAAATAATAACATGGATATGGTAATGTTAGTAATTATGATAGGCTATAGGTAATAGTAAAGGTGTTGATTGGTAGCCATGTATTAAGATGCTCAGTAATGCAAAGTTTATAATGCTTTGTAACATGAATAGAATTGGGATTCAGGACCCACAGCTTGCCCATAGCCAGCAGCTCTGGGCTCACCCCCAACTGCTGGAACCTCATCTGTGCAATAAACAGCATTTTAAGAGCCCTCTCAAGTCTCCATTTCTGTCAGGCTCTTACATACTATAAAATACTATACATATATAAAGTCAAGTCATATATAATTAAAAAATAACTGACAACAATTATTATTTAATCCAAAGTAATCTCTCAATCATATTAAATTACTAATGCCAATTAATATCTCAGAAGTTTAACCAATCTACACTTTTGTAAATGCATTCTTTAAAAAAATAAAAAACAAACACACTTCAAAAATAAAAAAATACTGAAAATATTAAAAATAAAAAAAAATACTGAAATACTAAAAACAGGACTGGGAGTTTTAAATAAATTCAAAAATATTAATAAATAAACTAACCACAACAACTAATAATTTAACAAAATTAAAACAACCCCATCAATCATCCCCCCACCCAGGCTGGCCTCATCTCAACTCCCCCTCACTGGCTTCATTTTGATTTTCTTGCCTTTTTTTTCCCCTCTTTTATAAATAATTATTAGAATAATTGTGGTGTTTTTTGGGAAAAAAAGAACCCTAACAAAATGGCAGATGGGTACAATAAACTTGAAGGGTTTCCAGCAGAGCTAAGCCAAAATGCCACCAATTAAAGAAGGAGGAATACCCCAGCCATTCCTGGGATTATTTGGAATTAATTTTGACATCAGTAATTGGAAATTTCCTGCTGTTAGGAATTGCCTTTGTTTGGAATTTGCAGTTTAACATCTCAGTGTCCTGTTTGCTTTTTAGGTCACTAAAAGGACTCAGGAGTCAGGTTCAACCTTTTTTTTAATTTATTTATTTATTTTTTAATGGGAAACTTTATCCATGTCCAGTCAAGTGCTTTGTCCCTCTGGGAATGCACTGTAGGAACAGGATTGACCTTTTATTTTAAACACACTTTAGGAGCATGTGAGCATTGCTTAGTAATTGTATTTAGTTGAAGTCCTCTACTTCAGGGCAGCCTATCCATGAAAAGAACAATTCAGGTTGCCATGTGAACTATCCCCTTGTATAAAGTGAGGATTCATTTGACCTCGGTGTTTGTGTTTAAAAACAACCACCCCCAAACAAGAACCTTGCATTCTTCAAAATGAAAAATGGTCATTTTAAGGCTAGGTAGTAGTGTGGTGACTAAATAATAGAGGTTATAGAGAATAATCATGTTTATGGGGGAAATAATAATGTTTTTCTGTACAGAGCAATGCACTGCTAATTTATGTTTTCACTACAAACAGCTTGTCATGTAAGTGCTGTTGGGAACTGAGGGATTTTTAAGGAAGCTGAATTTCTGAGGACCATCAGATTCTCCCCTGGAGTATTCCTGCTCACATGGGTTACTTGTGAGCTCTGGAGGATGACTCTGACTGGGGACCAGGGGTTTTCTTCCAGCTGATTTTATTTCATGCCTGGTGGCACAGAGAGGACTCTGTGTCCAGCAGAGCTGGTGGGAGCACTTTGCCCTCGAGCTTTTCTGGGGTGGTTTCCATCACACTGTATTTCTGATATTCTCTTTCCTCTCCACCACAGGTTGTGTTGAAAATGGTTGCAGAGATCAAGAAGATCCCTGGCATCTCTCGGGTGATGTATGACTTGACATCAAAGCCACCAGGAACTACGGAGTGGGAGTAATTAACTGTTCCCTATCCAAGTACTGTGTGCAGTCAAAACCATATCAGAAACCATTCCCAGTGTTGACATGCAGTACTGTGAAAGAGTGACTGGAGCTGCTACATCACATCAGATTCCTCTCCTGGAGCATCATGGTGCAGTTCAGAGCTGTGCTGGGGATGGCAGCAGCGTGGGGCTGAGGACTGTACGGGTAAATGATGGTGGCAGTGCTGCCAGGCCAGGCCCCTCTGCTTTGCCTTTGTCTCTCCAGTCCCCCCGAGTTCCCCCCCGTGTTCTGTTACCTGTCATTTCGGTGTCTCTTTGTTTTTGTACACTGTGGGAAAAAGAGACAGTTTATTTACTTCTACCAAAAGCATTGTTACAGCCCAAACATGTAAGAGGAGTTAATTCTTTGTGACCAACCGCTTTGGGACGGATTTATTATAAATAAATATTTTGCCAAATGGAGTAGTGGGTACTGTCGAGTCGTGGAGTGGCTGTGTATGTTCTGTCCCCTTGTCCTGTGCTCTGCAGTGAGGGTGAGCAGTGCTGGCCTCTCCTGGCACTGCTGTGTCCGTGTGTCTGTCCCTGCTGGGGCACAGCAGAGCTCCCAGCTCCTGCCTTGGAGTGCTCTGGGATGGCAGAAGGGCAAAGCTGGCGGTGCAGCAGGGAAAGCTCCTGCCTCTGTGCCCCCAGCACTGCCCCTGTGCTCCCCTTGTACTTGAGCTCAGTGGATTTTCCTGTTTGCTCTGACAGGGGTTTTTTGGGGTGTGTTGTGCTTAGCTCCATCTGGAAGTGTGGAGTGGCTCGGGGTGAGCTCCCCATCCCTGGAGCCCCTCTTGTCACTCGTGTTCTGCTGTTGGCAGTGAAGCAATAATTTGAGATGGTTGCTGGACAGGAGCTTTCTGATGTTTTGAGGCAAAGCCATTTCCATCCACCTGAGACTCCTGTCCTGTGACAGGAACAGCTGGATTCCCACCTGAGCAGGTTGGGGGTGCCTGGTTACCCCCACTGGGGCAACTGGAATGTGATCCAGGCTCTTCCCTCTTATCCCAGTTAATTCTTCATTTTAAGCAGCTGTGTTTTGTTCAGCTGCAAGATCACTGTAGTATTATGGGGTAAAATCCTTGGTTTAAACTGTTCAGTAACAGGGAGTGTTTCATGGCTGTAGCTCCTCTCTGCCCTTGCCTGGATTTGTGAACTGGAATAATACTGAAAGTGTTTGTTCTGTATTTTTGGTCGCACACGTTTTCCTGTTCTTACATTCCCTGCCTACACGTTATGGAAATTGGGTTTGGAAATTTCTGCTCCTAGGAAATGGCCAACTGGTGTAAATGTTTTTTTGTTTTTTTTTTTTGCCTGTGTCACTGAGGGGTGTTTTGCACGAGGAGGAGGGGGTGGCGTGTCCCAGCCGTGCTCCCAGGGCTGCTGGGGACATGGGGGTGCAGGAATTGGGGCTGGGGGCTCTGCCTCCCCTCCAGCCCTGCTCCAGGAGGGCTCTGCAGCTTGGGCAAGTTGGGCTGATGTGGGCAAATGCAGCTGAAGTGATAACTCAGTCACCTCCTTTTCAAAAGGGGGTGGTGATTTGCACCCACACCTGCCATAACCTCTTTGAGCTTCAGTGCTGCCAGTGATTCTGATTTCAGTGATTCTCGATTCCTTTGCTACAGGGTGGGGACCTGTGGTTGTTAAACCCTGCACATGGGTGTTTGCTGGGGCAGCACCTGTCCTAGCAGGTCAAAGCTGACCTCAAAGGGAGCTCCCCAGTGAAGTTCCACTGCATTTTGGTGTGGTCAGGAAAGGCTGAGGGAACTGCTGTAATTTCTGGGTGGTATCTCACTCACAAGGGTGCAGAGACAGGAGCTGAATCTCTGGTGAAATGCAGAACCCTCTCAGTTCTCACAGCAACAGGCTCGTCCTCGTGGCTGCCACGGCTGTGTTGCCTTGACAGCAAACAAGCAAAGCTGAGAGGATCACTAAAAATAATGCAAATAATGCAGAGAGCTCTGAAACCCAGCCCCTGCTGGATTCTGCCCAGGCTGTGCCCGTGCAGCTGGAGCTGCAGTTTGTGCTGGGGTAAAGCAGTGAGGGCTGGGGGCTGCAGGGGAGGTGCTGCCCCTGGGACCCCCCTCCCTGCTGCTCTCCTGGGCAGGAACCTTTTGTTTCCTGCATGCTGCACCCCTGGAAAAATCCTCCTTGGAGCTGCACCCTAACTGTGGGCACGGTGTCTGCCATGCACTGTCACCATCCTTGAACCCCTGGGCTGCTTCCCTCTGCAGCTGGGCAGCATCTCCGTGCTCTTCTTTGGGTCACAAAGCTGAATATTGAACATTTTAGGAGTAAACTATTGCACTATGAATGGAAATGTCTTATTGGAGTGGAGTGTGTGCCCCTCAGCCCCTGTCTGCCAGCTGTGCCATGCCGTGTAGGGCTGCTCTTGGCAAGGTTGGTGTGCTCATCCCAGCACTTCTGGGTGGTTTTTGGAATCCCTTTGTACTGGACAGCCAGAATGGAGAGAAACATCATACTCTGTTCACATTTCTTTAAAAAGAAGTTATATTTAGCACCTAGTTTACAAACTAATACCTGTAGCTGCCCTGTACAATTGTTCACCTGGAGTCTTCAGTAAAACATGTCAGCAATTAGAGGAATTTGTATTGGGGGCACTCCCCATCAGTCTCAATTTTTAACATTTTTCTGCTTGTGAAATGATAAAGTACTGTGAGCCTTAATTTTTATCCACAAATAAAAATATTATGTTTGAACCTTGGTGTGAATGTTCTTTTTTTAAGGGCTTATGTGTAAAAACTATATTATGAATGGGACAGTATTTTGGGTTGAACAAGCTGTTTTTATGGATGTAAATTGATTTAAATGTCTGCTCAAGAGCCCCTTTAGAGCTGGAATATTTCTCCTTTCCCAGAGTGGTTTGGAATACAGAGATCAATATAAAGCTGCTTGCAGGATTACTTCCCTTTTAAAAATGTTATTTAGGGCGGGGAAAAAAAAAAACCTGTTGTGGGGTAAATGAAGCTTTGGGGAGAGCCAAGTTTGAGTTGTGGGTTAATTAAGGAGTAGGGTGTGTTAATTAAGGAATAGGGTTTGTTAATTAAGGAGTAGGGTCTGTTTTTTACAGGGTGTGGCTCTGCCCTGGTGGCTCCTGTCGGGTTTCTGCCCAGCAATGCTGTTCTGGAGCAGCTTTTATCCCCTGGGAAATGCTCCCAGCGCTGCTCTCGCAGCCGTTTGGTGACAGTTTGGTGACCTGGGACAAGTCACTGACAAGGACTCCACAGCTGGAGCTGGCCCAGCTGTTGGGGTTCTGTGGTGGGGAGGGGGAGGATGCTGCTCAGGACCTGGGGATGCAGGAGGAACTGGATTTGGGGGGTTTTAGAGGAAAAGAGGTTTTCTGGATGAACATGGAGTGATGCCCTCCTGCTCCTGGGCACAGCCTGGGGTGGATGAGGGCTGAAGGAAAATCTGGATAAGCAGGGGAGCTCACAGGCAGGGTTGTGGAGGGGAGCAGTGGGAATGGGGAGGAGCAGGGAGCCAGCACCACACACCCCCGGGCTGGGAGCTGGCTGAGTCAGGGCTGGGATTTGGGATGATCTCTGTGCTCTGCAGAGCTGGGGTTTATTTTTAGTCCCTGTGTGGTGCTGATTGCCATGGCAATGCCACAGCACTGCGGGATCCAGGGGTGGGCACGGGGCTCCTGGCCGTGGTTTGGGATGGAGTGACAGCTCCTGTCTGCTCCAGGGTGGGGGTTCAGCTCCCAGCCAGAGCTGCCACTGCCAGCCCCAGCTCTGAAACCAAACACAATCCTCCAGGCACGGGGGGGTGGCCAGGAACGAGATCCATTCTGAGTGAAAATTCTGAATTCATCCTGGGAGCACTCACCTGCTCAG